GAGCAAAGAGCTTTTCAGCTACCAAGAGATGTAAAAAAAATATTGTTGTGAAACTAAGCCTGCTGGGGTGACAATGAACCTGGAGCAGTTGGAACCAGCTGCATTCCAGGAAGCACAGTGTTCATTGAAGCAAATTCTTTCTGTTCCCTTTTGATTATAGAGAGCACAAAGTGAAAACAAAAATATAGAATTTCAACCATAAGATGCATATTTTTGCAAGATCTGACAGTGGGAAGCTACACAACAACACACGCCAGATGCAACCAGGTCTGGAATCAGTTTCTCTGGAACTGATTTAGTGCTGTGCACTGCAACAATGATGCTAAGCAATTCTTCACCTTCTTTACTCACCGGCATGATTTAACAGCAAAGAATTCAAGATTAACGTCTGTAAGGGATTGGCAAGAGTCCAGAAAAATGGAGCCACCAGCCATGACCTGAGTCCATCTAATACATCCATTTCCACCAGTTGCTTCAATCCACATATATTCTGCCCAGACATTGTATTAGTAGGGCTTCCCAAGAAATAATATATAGCAATGCATTGGTTGCAGTTTTTTTTATTCCACAAGGAAGTTAACCACATTAAGGCAAGAACAACAAAGTCACAAATGGAGTTATGCAGGTCACCTTGACAAAGTGAGTTCTTCTGTTACATTTTTAAAAAAATCCAACGGCTGTTAACTGGTTTCCTTTAAACTTACTGCGTGGAACAAGATGTTCTTTTAGGTTTCTTTTCAGGTGACAGAATAACTAAATTGGTAGCTCTCTGGCCTTGGGAAGTGGTAGGTTGAATCCTTGATGTCTTATAATAATCCTGGCATTTGAGCTCATTGTGTATCGGTTGACACTGCAATGCAGTGAGTCTAGTGCGAGAGATATCAGCATCTGGACCACATGTTAAATTGAGGTATCATGTCCTTGTTCAGGTGAATTTTAAAGATACAATGTTTTGGTTGTCTAAATCCTCCTACTTTTAAAAACTACAATAAACAACATGCATTTATATAGCGCCCCTCACGCAGGGTAGCGTCCCAGAGCGGAGACAATCAGGTCTCCTCCCAACTTGCTCTCCTCTAGGGAAACCAGTCCTCGTTTCTATAGTCTTAATTTCAGTAAACTCTCTCATCCCTGGTATCATACTAGCAAATTGCTCCATAGCCTCAATATCCTTCCTGTTTTGGAGTGCCCCAAAAAACAGAACACAATATTCTTAAGAGGTGAGTAACCAATAATTTATAAAGACTTAGCATAAGGAAATGAGTTCATTACGTGAGGCAGACAACAATCGAAGTTTGTCAAATTTTGCCTGCCAACGGCGGAGATGTAAAACATGCCCGAGTCTGCAGAGCCGGGGGAAGAGGGCGGGGGAGTAAAACAGCAGGAGATTAGAGTTAGGTTGGGGCAAGAGTTGGAGGCATTTGAAGGTTAAAATGAGAACCTTTAAATTGATCTGCTGAGGAATCGGGAGCGAGTGGAGTGGTTTTTGCCTGCGATGGGGATGATGTGGGGGTGGAGGCAGGCAATATTGCTCAGTGTAAAGCCAATCTAGTAAGAAAAAGCAGTGGTGACCATAGGCAGAAAACTTGCAAATTAACCACAGGCAGCTGTGTCTGAAAGGTATGGGGAAAGGAATTTGTAGGATGTAGCGAAAAATCTCAAATGATTTTGCTTTGTATTTCATGTTTCACCAATGACATGGTCGGTAAACCATGCAAATACATGAGTTTTCAGCACGAGGCCATGAAACCGATACAGGTCGTTTTGTTGACGCATGGCTCTTTGAAAGCAGAATCTTTGAATATATTTTCCACGGTAGGCACTGAACACTACTGACAGAGCTACCACTAATGTGCCAGGCAGCCACAGAGTAATGCTTAATTTTAATCATTATCGGATTTTCCAGATACAATATACAATGAAGTCATTTGTGGTCATTTTTAAATAGAGCCTAGATATAATCAGAGGGCTAGAAAGTGGGAGAGACTAGAATTCTGATAAGTGAGTACACTTGAAAATTTCAGTGAAATTCCTGGATTTTGTACCAGAAGTTTTGTTTAACGTAACTATGAAAACTGTTGCTTACTTTATGGTGTACAGTTCAAGGCAATTTTTTGCAAAATAACCTGTATAAATTTGATGTGATTTACAACATAAACAAATCCCGCTTGAGGAGTATTTTTAAGCAATTCAAAGATTCGGTTTATGCAAATTTATGTAGATTAATTCTATTTTCAAAAGGGAATTGGATATGTTCTTGAAAAGGAAGATTTTTCAGGGTTATGGGGTAACAGCAGAAAGTGGGACTAGTTGGTAGCTCTTTAAAAGAGCCACAGGAACGATAGGCCGAATGGCCCCCTTCTGTGCTGTAAGATTCCATGATTCTATTTTGAAATTGATTTGGCCTTCACTTCAAAAAATGGTCCTTCAACAGTTTTAGGCAATTTAATGGATTAAATAAGTAATACTGTTAACAGGAGATGAAGCTGTGCAGGAACAACTGAGAATGGAAATTATTAATCCTGCATCCTGCTCCAACTCATTCAGCAATGTAATATATGCAATATAATAATCCTTGCTTCTGTATTGTGCCTTTCACATCAGAAGATTGTCTGAAAGTGGTTCATATGATTTATGTGTAGTATATTTTGTGGGAGATTCTAGTAGTTAAATCAATCTCATTGGATGATGCAGCATTTATATTCTCATGGTAGGGAGAAAAATGTTATAGTGATGATGTTAGTTCACAAATGAAAAAAATGTTTGTATGTTCAGGAACTTGTCCCAATGGTTTCCACTGTTTTTAAATTAGTAGACACCAGCAGAGCATAGTACTTACACCTAACCAAAAAAGAAATAGCAGAGTGCTGATGCAAATTACTCCACAATTTAACAGTGAGGTGTCAGTGGAAATCTGTTCTTGCGTCTAACCAGCTTTCCCTCTCTTTATTTCCTGTTATTGTACTTTTGTGTATACAGTAAGCTCTTTGTGATGTCTTCCCAGCATGAAAGACGCTATATAAATGTAAATTGTATTGTACAGTCGTAACAGAAAATAAGTTTCAGTCAGTGTAGACCATTGGGCAATCTAGCCAATCTATTCCACTTCGTCAAGATTACTTCAACCTCACCATTTACTGATTCTAAACCCTTTGAATTTCCAGGAGCATATCTAGCTCCTGTTATATTGCCCGGGTTTAAAATGGAATAATATATACACTGCACCTCTACTCTGGTATAAATTGGGATAACAAATATATGGTAAAAATTTCACACAGTTCTACATTTACTCTATCAATGTAGCATTTCTTAAGGACAACAGAAAAACAGGTTCAATTTGCCAAATTCTGGATGCTCTAAAATAATAATAAAAATGATAATAATAATCCTTGCAATTGGTATAGCACCTTTACACAAAGGAGGACTTCTCAAAGCTCTTTACAGAATTTACTGTGAAATATAGTGACTGTGTACTGTTTATTTGTAGACAAGCACAGCAGCACATTTACACGCAGCAAAGTCCCACAACCAGCCATGAAGTGACTGAACAATTTTATTTTAGGGGACTGTCGGTCTCAAAACCTTTCTCTTTGACCGTGCCTTCAGCTCCCCTCTCGACTCTCTTCCCCCTCCTCGCTCCCTCCCTTCCCTCCCCTCACCCTGACCATTTCCCCCCTCCTTGCTCCCTCCCTTCCCTCCCCTCACCCTGACCGTTTCCCCCCTCCTCGCTCCCTCCCTCCCCTCCCCTCACCCTGACCATTTCCCCCCTCTTCGCTCCCTCCCTCCCCTCCCCTCACCCTGACCATTTCCCCCCTGCTCGGGTCATGACCCAACTGTGCAGCGCCTTGGGACGTCCTCCTGACGTGAAAGGCGCTTTAGAAAATGGAATCTTGTTGTTGTTGTTGTCATCCAGAACACCGGGAGAAACACCTTTCCCTTTTTGAATAGTGCCTTTGGGATCTTTAACATTGACCTGAACAGGCAAATGGGACAGGTTTAACGACTGGGCCGAAGGATGGATGCCATGTTAATAGAGTTACGAGACCCAGATGGAATCTTATTCCAAAAATGAACCTGATGGTAAATTTATATAATACAAATTTATATTTATCTTGCTCCGTTCACGTCGGGATGACATTCCAAAGCACTTATACTGTACAAAGTACTGTATAGTCTGTTATCCAACATATATTCTGCACTCCACTACTACTCCTTGGGGATAAAAAAAATTATTTTGGAATGTACCCAGTCATTATGCATTGGTAAACCACTAGATAATGTAACAGCTAATCCCTCAGAACACTTAACTCATCAAGATACAAACTATGTTTTAGGAACATAGCTACGACTTCTTGGTTCACACAATGAATTTCAGTTTAAAGCAAGCGACAGATTTGAAAGGAAGTCAAATTGGTAAGTAATAGTGAAAAGGAGAAAGCATCCCAATTCTATGAGATGTAAAAACAGCCTTCAACAAGTCTTCCAAAAATAGTATTTCACCTCTGAAAACTTCAGACGGATTTTGTAGCACCCATACGCGTCAGAACTGCACGAGCAGCACACCACAAATCACTTGACAACTATCCCATTGTCATCAAGCTTGGCCCAGCAGAGGGCAAAACTGATATCACCTATTAATCTGCATCACAATTTCAACCATCCTGACAATGAGATCTTAGCATGTTTAATCATCAATAACAAATCCATGATTTTGGATTAGAATCTCAACATTTGCTTCATTCATTGGAATGACATTGATATTTTGCAAGTGCATGGCCCAGAATTCCCTCACATTGGAATGAGGAGAATTCCACCCATAAATTCCAAAAGACTCGCAGTCCCTCGCTTGGCTGACTGTTATCTACTTTTACAGGAAATGTGTTGTATCTCTTCTCTATCACTGCAGTATAAACTACTTGATTATGGATATGTAGGTTTTTTCACCAGTACAAAAATCATCTTCAAGATTGCCATTTGCAAGGAGAACTTGAAGCACTCACCTGATCTCCTTGAGTCCCTCTCGTTGGATGACTTGTAGGATCTCCTTGTGGCTCATTGGTGTGTTTGGATACTTCTCCAGCACCTGATAAAGACAGACCGTAATGTCAGCATCAATTGTGTAATCCCTGCCGGTATCAATACTGTGGGAATATCCAGTAAGAAAATGACCCATAAGATAATTTAGAAATGTTCAGTTTTTTGATAAAATAACACTTTTTAAAAAACTTTAATTTAAACAACAACAACACATTACATTTCAATAGCACCTTTCATATCAGAAGGATATCCCAAGGCACTGGACAATCAAGGATTTGCACCCAAGCCGGGGGATGAATACAAGAGGAGTGCGGACCAAGGGAGTAGAGACATTCTCCTGATGTGAAAGTACGATATAAATGTAAATTAGTATTGTATACAAATTTAACATGGGGTTAGTTGTGCATTATTGTTTATTATTTATTATTACATGAAAATACCAAACACAAGTTTAGGAGGATGAATTTTGTATTTGTAACAATATTAAAAATGGCTGGAGAAATTGGTTCAAAGATGTTGACTTTAAGACTTTATTTTTAAAAGGAAACAAATATTTTTTAAAAATGACCTTTTCTGCAATTCGTATTATTCAAGTAACAGGAAATGTTTTCCAAGACTAGATGGCAATAGGTATTAATTAAATTGAAGTAGATTACATCAATGACATCGGGAAGGGAATAGAGGGGTATGGGAGAGGGGAAAAGGAACGGGTGGAGGCTGATGTGGAGCATTAATGCTGGCATGGACTAGTTGGGTCGAATAGCCTGTTTCCTTGCTGTAACATTCTACGTAATTCTATATTCTAAGAGCATGCAGCAGTGAAATATCTAGTTGGAGAACCAGCGAAGAAACGCACTAACAACCACTTCAACTTACAGGTGAATAAGATGGAATTCTTGCCTCTATGGTATAAATGTCATATTTAAGAGTACTTTGCATATTTTAGGAAAATTGAACTCTTCAAGATGATACAACAACAACAAAATTACATTTGTATAGCGCCTTTCACGTCGGGAGGACGTCCCAAAGCGCTGGACAGACAGATTTACGAACCCGAGCTGAGGGTCGGGTTGGGGGAGGGTGGAGGGCAGGGAGATCAAAAGCACGGTCGAAGAGGAGCCATGATAGGGGCCAGCTTGGGAATAAAACATTTTCTACTTTGCAAACTGAATATCAGCAACAAGCAATCTCAGGTCAGACACAACAAAGTCCTCTCTACCATGTTACAACAATTTGCCCTAACCTCAAATACAGTCTCAGACGTGCAAAACAGTATTGAATGAAACACTATCTCCAGTATCTACAGAACTCAAGGATTCTGGCCAGACAGGAAATACGTCAAATGTCAAGTTCTGTCAGGATAAATGGTGCAATTTAGATGACTGGCAATTATTGACATGATGAATTCATTTTCATGACAAAATATTTTAAGCGTCATTTAAATTATTTTTATATAGTTGGCATGTCAATTTTTAATTTAGGCATGAAAGCATTACAAAGGCAGACTTGTTCTGCTGGCATCTACTGGAGGGTATTGCAAAGCCTTCAGTTAAACATTGCTCTGGTTTATTGGAATTTAAATGGGTATATTTTTGGAACTACACATAATTAAAAAGTGCGTGCACAACAAACTTGTTGATGGGTACTACAGTATGGCAGTGAGTGAAATTATTAAATAAACTACTCTTTCAGGTTTAATTTACTCTTAGTCTATCCATTTCTAAATTATAGAATACGATAACATAAGCCATTTTAAAACCATTTTATTTGCTGTCTTGCATATTTGCCCCAATGGGAATAGTTCCTGTTACTTTATACTGTATTTTAATCCAAGCTTTTAACATAATGGAAATGCTCTCAATGGATAATGACACTAAGAGATGCTAAGTGCAACTTCAAATTGCATTAACTGCTTCATTAGATATAGTATACCAGGTCTATGAATCCATATGAAACACTCCATCAAGATTAGTGCAATGAAGCCGTAAATCAACAGGAAACACTTTTAAAAATACAAGATCACAAAGTACTAGGTCACAAAACTTTAAACCAATCACTTAGTTACATATCATATTATTCCTAAACAACTGACATTTAAACTTCTTTATGCTCAAGTAATGGGTGTACTTCCCAAATGATTAGTTAACTACATTATACAATGTCAATGCAAGATTAGACAAGCTTATTCTATTGACCTTTCTTACAGAGTGTGATTTCTCAAAATAATTTTAAAGGTGCATTGTCAATTCAGATTTTCAAAAAAAGCAAGAAAATAATTTATTGCCTCCTATTTGGTAGCAAAATCAATTCTTAATTAACATTCTTTTGCGACTTCCAAAACGCAGTAATTGAAACATATCTTAACAGAATAGTGATCAATGAAGGATAGATTTATATGATCAAAACAGCAACAGGATAGATTTGATCAAAGCCACACACAATGATTGAAATGTTGCAATCCGACCAATGGATATGAACACTTGTGTTAGGAAGAAATGGGTTGGTGATCACTGTATTTTCTGGTGGCAAGATAAAAAATGAACAGAGTACTCAAGTCAATGCTGACTCACTTTATTGGTCAATAGCATTTTGTAAATAATGATGATTCTCTTAGATTCCCCAACATAATAACAAGGTTAAACATTAAACCTTCCCTGGGCCCATCCCTCCTCTCAAGCTACAGCCCATCTTTAACCTCCCATTCCTCTCCAAGGTCCTGGAATGAATCGTCATGCCCCAGTTCCGCTCCTTTCTTTCTCGCCATTCCCTCATGGAACCCCTCCAATCCGGCTTCCGCACTACCCGTAACACGGAAACAGCCCTGGTCAAAGTCACTAATGACACTCTGAGCATCTGTGATCAGGGCTCCCTCTGTCTTCTTGTCCTCCTCGACCTCTCTGCTGCCTTCGACACTGTCGACCACTCCATCCTCACACACCGCTTCTCCTCCTTTCTTAATCTTCACGGACCTGCCCTATCCTGGTTCGATTCCTATCTCTCTCACCGTCTCCACTTCGTTGCCTCTAACGGTTTCTCCTCCAGCCCCCGCACTGTCACATCTGGCGTCCCCAGGGCTCTGTCCTTGGCCCTCTCCTCTTTAATATCTACATGCTCCCCCTTGGTGACATCATCCGCAGACATGGGGTCAACTTCCACATGTATGCGGATGACATCCAACTCTATCTTTGTGCCTCCACCCTCAACTCCAGGACCACTGACAGACTGTCTGTCGGACATCAAGTCCTGGATGAGGGTAAATTTCCTACAGTTGAATATGAACAAGACTGAGGCCCTCCTGATTGGCTCGCGCCAGCGCCTCTGCACCTCAGGCTCTGGCAGCATCAACCTCCATGGTTGCGCACTTTAACTCACCAAACCAGTCAGGAACCCAGGTATCTTGTTCGACCCTCAACTGTCTTTTCTTCCCCAAATCCAAGCCATGACTCGCTCTTCCTTCCCTCACCTCCGTAACATTGTCCGACTCCGCCACTACCTCACCCCTCAGGCTGCTGAAACTCTTGTTCATGCCTTCATCAACTCCAGGCTCGACTATGCAAACGCCCTGCTTGTCGCCCTTCCCAACTCCTCCCTCCACAGGCTGCAGATAATCCAGAACTCTGCAGCCCGTGTCCTTTCCTGCACCAAACTCCGTGACCCCATCTCCCCCATTCTCTCCCAACTCCATTAGCTCCCTATCCTTCAGAGGATCCAGTTCAAGATCCTGGTCCTCACATACAAAGCCCTCCATGGCCTCGCCCCACCCTACCTCTGCAACCTCCTAACCCCCTACAAACCCGCCCACTCCCTCCGCTCAGCCGGCTCTGGCCTGTTCCACGTCCCCCGACCCACCCGGCCCACCATTGGCGGGAGAGCCTTCAGCCATTCTGCCCCAACCTCTGGAATTCCATCCCCCAATCAATCCGCCTCGCCCCCTCCTTAGACTCCTTCAAGTCCCGCCTCAAAATCCTCCTCTTCGACCATGCCATCGGCCACCCCCCTTCCCCTCCCTTCTCCCTCCCTGACCCCAGCTCGGGTCTGAAATGCTGCACACTGTCAAGCACCTTGGGATGTCCTCCTGACGTGAAAGGCGCTATACAAATGTAATCTTGTTGTTGTTGTTATATCTATTATCAGGTACAATTATGTCAGCCTAGTCCAGCTGGTAGAACTCTCGCCTGTGAATCAAAAGGTTATGAATTCAAGTGCCAGTTTAGGACTTTGAACTTAATCTAGGCAGACATTACAATATACAACAACAACAACAAGATTTCATTTATAGAGCGTCTTTCACGTTGGGAGGACATCCCAAGGCGCTTGACAGTGTGCAGCATTTCAGCATTTCACGTTGCCTCAAATATAGTACTAAGAAGGGAGGTGCTGCAATGTCAGAGGTGCCATCCTTTAAATGAGACATCAAGCAGTCCCGTCTGCCTGTTCAGGTGGCACTATTCAAGAAGAGAAGGGAGTTTCTCCTGGCATTCTGGACAATAAACCCCGAGATAAAACTGGTCATTTGTTTCACAGCTGTTTGTGAGAATTGCTGTGCACAAATTGCCTGTAGTGTTCACTCACAAAATACACAATCACTACACCTTACAGTAAATCCTGTGAAATACTTTGAGACATCCTCCAGACATGACAAGCACTGCATAAGATGCAAGGATTCATTATTATATTAATAATAATCATAAGATTTTAAACAAATAAAAGACAATGCCATTATAATGAGCCTTGCAATAATGCAGGTTCATTTCAAACACAATTTGGTCATCAACCCCATCATTTTCTTGCCTCAAAATCAGGCTAAAATTTAAATCACATTGTTGACAGAGAAAGGAGCGCATTGAGGGGTCAACTGATGATATGTTTGAGTTTCTGAAGTCTCATACTCCATCACTAGAAATGGCTGCAGTGAGTCTTAAGGCTCAACATCAATACACTACTGTCAAAGTGTGTTGGACAAGTTCTCCACCAGAAGTACTCTGCCTACTACCACCTGGAATCTGGCATAAGTACAAAAGCCCTCCCTTGATGGGTTGTGACTGA